GTCGACCCAGCCTGGTACCATGATGGCTGTCCTGGGGATGTAAAGACGAGCGGCGTAATGCTGACCACATTACCCACCTAGTGCCGAATGGTCTGAAAAAATGTGGGATACTTCCCATATGCCTGATGAGCTTAAGGGGTAAAAAGGGATCTTTACTTCTTTTTGGTCTGATGTGTTGTGAGATAACTCCAAGCAATGTGTGTGTGTATTTGTCTGAAGTACTGGTCAGTTGTTTAGGCCTGTGCATTTGCTTTTTGGGTACTATTCTATTTAGTGTTAGATTCCAGTTCTCTGTCGAGCTCTATTTTTCTAATAACCTTTCAAATCGCAATAAGGCTGTTGGGGGCTGTTTTCTATAGTAGTCCAAAGAGTAACGTTATCGACCAGTAGACTCTACGTGTCAACCGTTGGATAGTCATCTACGAGTAGACTGTTGGATAGTCAGCTACGAGTAGACTGTTGGATAGTCAGCTACGAGTAGACTGTTGGATAGTCAGCTACGAGTAGACAGTTGGATAGTCATCTACGAGTAGACTGTTGGATAGTCATCTACGAGTAGACTGTTGGATAGTCATCTACGAGTAGACTGTTGGATAGTCATCTACGGGTAGACAGTTGGATAGTCATCTACGGGTAGACTTTTTGATAGTTATCTACGGGTAGCTGAATACGGCCAGGTATCCACGGGAAAACAGTTGGATAATCACTAGAGGCACAAAACAAATATTTTAAACCACGACACTGGGCTGCAACCCGGTAAAAGTGAAGAAGACAATAGATAGATCTACGGGTAGAGTTTTGGATAGTCATCTACGGGTAGACTGTTGGATAGTCATCTACGGGTAGACAGTTGGATAGTAATCTATGAGTAGACAGTTGGATAGTAATCTACGTGTAGACAGTTGAATACGTGTTAGTAACAAAATTAAGTCCTTCTACAAAGTGGAAAGCATGGGAAATGTTTTACTCAAGCAAAATCCAGGCACAGCATTGAAAGTACAGTTATTTAGAAGTATTCACCTAACTGCACATCTTCTATCATTTATTGCTAATCTGGATAATTAGGTAATCGCTGCGAATTGAATCAATTACGCAACAAGGAAACATTTACGAACAGTTCTTTAAAATGGTATGTTTCGTGTTTTTTTCTTTCTGATTCTTTTTTCCCCTATCAATATCTTTTTTTTTTAATTCAGTGCCTCTGACTGCACCGTAAACCCTTCTCAGCCGTTACAACTCCAACCCCCATCCCCCCCACCATTTTACCGATTCCGCTACCAGCCCCAGGGACCGTCCCAGCGCCCTACGCCACAAGGGCGCGTTTCGTAATGTCGGAATGCCGGGTTCGATCAGTGCTGCGGACGGTTTGTCTTGCGATGGTTTCGACAGTAGTATCGCGAGCCGACCATCCAGGAAGCAATGGCAAACTACTGGACGCAAATTTGCCTAGAAAAACTACAACAGCCAGAAAGTGCTGGGGTTGGTTCTGCAAGGTCCTGTAAAGTATACGCAACTAATAAGATATTCCATTCTTGCGAGTCGCGGCTGTGTAGTGACCCCTCAGTAAACCAAGGTTATAATGTTTACCAGGATATGTTTGGGGAAGTAAAGGCGGGAGATTGATGCTGATCATGCTGCACGTCAGCGGCGTCCGTGGCTTAGGCGTTGGGGGTCCGACTCTTTTATCATGGTACGGAACGTCGCAGGTCGACCCAGCCTAAAATGGGTACCAGAATGGGCTGTCCTGGGAAAGTAAAGACAGCCGGCGTAATGCTGACCACATTACCCACCGAGTGCTGATGGTCTGTAAAAATATGGGCGCTCTTCCCATATGCCCGATACGCCTAAAGGCGTGAAAAGGGATCTTTACTTTACTTTACTTTACTTTGCTAGGCTGCACGTCGAATGAGCATTGTTTTATAAACTGTGGGTCTAGCAGAATATGTCCAAGGCTTTAATAGCAAGAAAGTACTTGTCCTAGTTTGTGACAGCAGTCTCATTTTGTCAGCCGTCGTTAACCTAGTTTGTGACAGGGGTCTTATTTTGCCAAGCCGTCGTTGACTTAATTTGTAGAGAGGTACCATTTTCCCAACCGTCTTTGACCTAATTTGTTACAGGGCTCCCATTTTTCCACCCGTCGTTAACCAAGTTTGTGACAGAGGTCCTATTCTCCCACCCGTCGTTAACCAGGTTTGTGACAGAGGTCCTATTCTCCCACCCGTCGTTAACCAAGTCTGTGACAGAGGTCCTATTCTCCCAGCCGTTGTTGGCCTAGTCTGTGATAGAGGTCCTATTCTCCCAGATGTTGTTGGCCTAGTCTGTGACAGAGGTCCTATTCTCCCAACCGTTGTTGGCCTAGTCTGTGAGAGGGGTCTCATTTTTTAGCCGTCGTTGGCTTAGTCTGCAAGAGGCCAAAGATATTAGATTGAATTCTATCTACGATATCACCTAGTGGAGAAATAAAGAGTATAGAACAGAACCAAGTGGAGAAATAGACTGCAGACGACAGAAGAGAGCGGAGAAATAGAGTGCCAACTCTGTGGGACATACAAATAGCACAGCCGGATGATGATGATGTATTTAAACAGTCCGACAATCTTTTAGCTTGAAATTACCATTAAGACCTACAAATACACATTTTCAATATTCAAATAAATTTTAAATATACATATATTCCAATAATAACACAGATGGATTGAAAAAGAGATCGTTGCCAGAGTGGAACTAAATCTTCTTTAATAATATGCCCTTGGGAGAGGTCGGGGGTAAAAAAGGGGGGGGGGGGAAGAGGGGGGAGGGCAATTATGAAAAAAAAAAATAACCAGTATACTTATGACTGCCTTATCATTATCACAGAGACTTGCTTGCTCTGATGACGTCAATGTAGATCTGCATAATTAAATAAATACAATTTTTAACAAGAATGTGCATTTTGGATGTACAAAAGGGTTTATTGTTTGGATTTGGAGTCACCGTCCATTATAACATCAGATGTTGTCACGTATTGTTTGGAATGGGAGTCACCGTCCATTATAACATCAGATGTTGTCACGTATTTTTTTGTTTTGTTCTTTGAAAAAAAAATTTCTTTGAAGCGTCTAAATACCACTGACTCAAGGTAACAACCTAGTACTACTTTAACCTGAAACAGTGACGTCTACTGACTCAAGGTAACAAACTAGTAATACTTTAACCTGAAACAGTGACGTCCACTGACTCAAGGTAAGAAAGTAGTAATACTTCAACCTGAAACAGTGACGTTCACTGACTCAAGTTAACAAACTAGTAATACATTAACCTGAAACAGTGAGGTCCACTGACTCAATGTAACAAACTAGTACTACTTTAACCTGAAACAGTGACGTCTACTGACTCAAGGTAACAAACTAGTAATACTTTAACCTGAAACAGTGACGTCCACTGACTCAAGGTGGGAAACTAGTAATACTTCAACCTGAAACAGTGACGTTCACTGACTCAAGGTAACAAACTAGTAATACTTCAACCTGAAACATTGATGTCCACTGACTCAAGATAACAAACTAGTAATACTTCAACCTGAAACAGTGACGTCCACTGACTCAAGGTAATAAACTAGTAATACTTCAACCTGAAACTATGACGTCCACTGACTCAAGGTAATAAACTAGTAATACTTCAACCTGAAACTATGACGTCCACTGACTCAAGGTAATAAACTAGTAATACTTCAACCTGAAACAGTGACGTCCACTGACTTAATGTAACAAACTAGTAATACTTTTAACTGAAACCGTGACGTGCACTGACTCAAGGTAACAAACTTGTAATTCTTTAACCTGAAACAGTGACGTCTACTGACTTAATGTAACAAACTAGTAATACTTTAACCTGAAACATTGATGTCCACTGACTCAAGGTAACAAACTAGTAATACTTTAACCTCAAACAGTGGCGTCCACTGACTCAAGTTAACAAACTAGTAATACTTTAACCTGAAACAGTGACGTCCACTGACTCACGGTAACAAACTAGTAATACTTCAACCTGAAACAATGACGTCCACTGACTCAAGGTAACAAAATAGTAATACTTTAACCTGAAACATTAACGTCCAATGATTCAAGGTAAGGAACTAGTAATACTTTAACCTGAAACATTAACGTCCAATGATTCAAGGTAAGGAACTAGTAATACTTTAACCTGAAACAGTGAAGTCCACTGACTCAAGGTAAGAAACTAGTAATACTTTAACCTGAAACAGTGACGTCCACTGACTCAAGGTAAGAAACTAGTAATACTTTAACCTGAAACAGTGACGTCCACTGACTCAAGGTAAGAAACTAGTAATACTTTAACCTGAAACAGTGACGTCCACTGACTCAAGTTAAGAAACTAGTAATACTTTGACCTGAAACATTGATGTCCACTGACTCAAGGTAACAAACTAGTAATACTTTAACCTGAAACAGTGACGTCCACTGAATGAGTGGCAAATAAAAAAAAATTAAAAAAAAAAAAAAACGAAGAAATCTTATTTACAATCCACAGGAAAAACAAATTATTTGGACTAAACTATATTTAAAATGTCGCCTCTGCCCCCAACCAATGTTTAGCGCCTTAAGATGACAAAAGCTGTGAGTTCTGTGACCCCAGCTTCAGACATGACATTATCAAATTAATAATATCTATTGACCCGTCTTCTGTTACATCCACAGACTGGGAGAGAACATCCACAGACTGGGAGAGAACAACTGACCCCAAGTCCACAAAAGACAGGAAGAAGATACAAGACAACAGAAAGGAAGAATACACCAGACGATATAAAGGAAGAACGCACTAGACAATAGATGGAACACACTAGACAAAAGATACTTTTAAATTCAAACCAGGAAAGTTTCACTTCAAACGATGACACGGACATAGTGAGGCTACGGTGAAATACTTTTGCTCGCTGTTATTTCTAAAATCTTGGAAAATTCCAGACACGACTAAATCTGCTCAACGTCACTTTGGTTAAAATGGCTAGTGCGAGAGTCTTCTTCAGCAAACACCGTAAACACAGAAACGGCTTTATCAACGACGAAATGCCGGTGGTAGAGAACGGTTATGACGTCCATGAATCAGATGAGGACGAAGTCTTCGTTCAGGACCCTCACCTAGAGATCTCCGCCTCTAAACCACTTATGCATCCCAGAAACAAAGGTCAAAGAACAAAGGTCAAGACTAGATCATTAGAATGCAGCTTGTGTACCGTGTGCAAACCTATATTTTTTTTCGTTGCTCTGGTTTCCGTATTGTGTGGTGTCATGGCAACCATCGTCTATGTTGCTAACAGACATAAGAACCAATCAAATCCTGGGGCTCTCTTACAAGGGGCGGTGCCAAATGTAGGCGGAATTCATGAAAAACAGATTATTATTGGTTGTGATAAGATAGAAGTGGAAGATGTTTGGGTAGTAGGATTTCCAAAACTGTTAACGGAGTCAGCTTTCAGACTTGTGGATATCAACAAGGACGGGGCAATGGATATTGTCTTTGGATTTGCCACTGGTGAGTTTTGTGTGTCTCGTTTCTTCGTTTTGATGTCATTTTACAATTGAGTGCTGAGAAAATGGTTAGAATAATCGGAGGGTGATGAAAGTTGTTTATCTGACAGAGGCAAACATAAATATCGTAACTGACACAGTTGCCCGTAAATACAATCTTTAGGCTGAAAAACTTGATCCCGATTCCAGGTTTGGCTGGCAACTATCAGTCCTGGGGACAACCAAGGAGTTGTGCTGCTGGTTGTGGGAACAGAGTCTGCTAAGATGGTAAAGTCCAATGCGGGAGTTGTACATTGAAGCTATGTTATACAGCGACAGGGTTTCTCATAGAAGTGTCTGCTTTATAGTTTACTGCGTTCGGCTTCTTGTCTTTCACTGTCTGCCTCCATAGGAGTCGGTCTGCTGCTGATTTCTCCAAAGTGTCTGTGTCAATGTTGATTTCTTTCAGGTCATGTTTGATTATGTCCTTATAGCGTAATTTTGGCTTTTCTTTAGATCTGATCTCTGGTACAGGCTCAGACATCGTTTGGATGTGCAGAATGGTGCCCCGAAAAAAAAAGACTACCGTGGCACTTCCGTTCTTATGGACATCAAGGTATCCACGACATGGAGGTAATAGACATAAAATGTAGCCACTTGTGCGACAGAGTCCACACGTTTCTTTAAAATCGCTTAATTTTCACCTCGGGCATTGAAGAACCGAGGGACCTGAACTGTCAACACAGTTTCCCCTGACATTCTTGAGTTATATAACTTTGCATTCCCATGCTATTTGTTATTGGTCCACACCTGTCTCTCCATTCCACTGGCAAGACATCAACGTGGCTGCTTCGCGATACGTTATTTAACTGATTGTTGCGTATTTGTGTGGTACTGTTTGATTTATGTATGTGCTGATGAAGGCTCTGTAACCGCAACGTTCACTTTTATTTGTGTTTGTTCTACTGTTAAGCTGACTAATCTACTTTTCGTTCGGTAATATATCTTTCCACCATACAGGAGATCATTTGTGATGTGACCGACCTCTGTGCGAGAAACATATCTCAATAATGCATCTCGTATTACACATATGGTGTCACAAACCTCTGGTATGACCTTGCCGGTCCGTGGCTCGCTAACTAGGCCTATGACAGACAGACTAACCTACAACACACACTGAACCCGAACGCACACAGAGCACACACGACAATCTTTATTGGAAGTACAGGTAATACATAGACAGTTGACTTCCCGCCGTGTGGCCACCTATTGCCTGGACCCTCTGGCTGGACGGGCTTTACAATCGCCCCGTCCCCAGTACGTGCGACAGGCAATACTCTGGTGTACAAACCACAATCCGGCAGGATACGCTCTCTTCTATCGCCACGCTGACCCAATCAAACTGTCACAGTCTCTGTCCTAGTGCAGGGTCAGAGTGTCCAGGTTAGCCCACTCTCTCACAGCACATATACATAAATACTCTACACAAGAACTATCCTATCCTAACACAAAACTGTACATAAACTATCCAGTCACTAACAGAAATATATCCTAACTTTAATACTATAACATAAACTATCCAGTCACTAAACGTCCTCTCTTCCTGACTGACGCACACCGAATGTCCCTTCTTCCTTCTACCTCGTGTCTCTTAACCCCGTTCACCAGCTCAGTCCCAGAAGCAGTCATCGTGTTATTAAAACACAGTTCAGGCTTTCTTGCTTTATCCTGAGCGCTGGTTTCGCCGTGCGATCACAGAACGGACTCGACCAGTGACGGCCCTGACCTCTGTGTCAACCCTGGGTGCACACCTTACGGTGTGGTACACTGACTGTACTTAATAGGGTTGTGACATTCACCCTTCCTCTGAACTGATACTTCCTGACAAAGTCAAGTATCAGCAAAGCATGGCCTGCCATCATGTACAGTTATTTTTTTAAATTTTATCGTCAATATTTAGTTACCTAAAAAAAAAATATGTCATGTACTTTTGGGTCAATCACCTAAGGACAAACTATCTGGCACATATTTAATGGGTATATACATTCAATGGGTAAGCTCCTCCCTAATGGGTAGAAATGGTATCAGCCCTTGACACAAATACGTCACTACTCATTACACCTTCAAATCATATGGGTAATGATATAAATAATAATTTGGGTGGACACCCAAATCGTCCGGGACCCAATCACACCTTACTTCACTTACTGTGCAAGTAAGACGCCACTGTATACACCCCCAAGCCGTTTAACCAACGACACCGTGATTTATAACAGTGGGCGTCATGGACTATCTCCATAAGGCTTGTCCATGGTTGTGAAAAGGAGTCATGACCTGACAGTATTCAATGTTTGACTGTGGTCATAACCGTATAGATTTTGTACGACTATACACTCGTTGTGAGTTGAGAAAACATCGCAGAAACTTTCGTTCTCGTCTGCTCGGTTCTTCCTCTAGAGAAAGACTGCAATTCGAGAGCCTAGGTATTCAAACTCATGTACAACCAAATGTATTGCTGCATCATTCTCGAACTGAAAGAGTCCATGAGAAACCGTGTCAGCGCCGTAGCCCTTGCCCAAAGCCTAGAGGTCATGACAATATTGCCAGCTGAACATGTCAGAAGATGCATTCCTAAAGTGAATGTCCAAAACCACTCCGAAGCAGTTGGGTGAAGATAATGCTAAACAATTTAGGAGCTTGAACAAAGTCTGCTTGTCTGAGTCTGGTGAAGGGTATGAGGAATCTTCATAAATGACCGTTCTTTTTATATTTCCGTGCCAAGATTCGATGAATCTCTGTGCTATGAGCGGAGATCCGTGCTTGACAAGGATCTTGAACAAGCCATCTCTGCTATCATAATCGAGAGCCTTAATGAGATCTATGAAGGCAATAAACAGTGACTTGTGCTGCACTTTCCTTGTAGCTGCCGCATGGAGCAGATCGTCTCTACTGTTGACCTCTGGTCTGTCCTTTTTTTTTTTTTTTTTTTGGCTTTTGCTTATTAAGATACGATGCAGCGAGGTATACTTTTTATTTGTAAGTGGGCATACCATTTTTTGGTTGCTATAATTGTGTGTTATTTTGGTACTGCTTCTGTGCCGACATTTTCGCTTACCAATGAGGCATTAAAACAATCAGGAAGAACGAAAACACCCAACTCGAAGTCTTCTGAGCCTCAAGGTCTGGTACTCCACACATCTTTGCGTGTTCGCCATCATTGTATCCAGTTTCTGCGCGGGTAATCGATTGTGAACAAACACTCAGTCATCATTTGCCTGGGAGACTCCGGCCCGTGCAAGCAGCAGACAAACTCATACATCATTCTATCAGTAGTTCTTGTGTCTTCTCTCCCAAATTGTGTATACAAACCGGGATACTCAAGTAGACAAACACTGGTAATTTCTGGTAACTCACGCACTTTTCCAATGTGCTCCTGGGAGATTCACATTTCTTTAATCACCGTTCCTGATATCTATTAGGAATTCATTTTTCTCATCTGTGCTTTTGTTATCTCAAAGTAATTCATGTTTTACCATTTGCGTTTCTGATATCTCTCAATAATTAATGTTTTACCATCTGTGTTTGTATCTCACAGTAATTCATGTTTTACCCTTTGTATCCCATCTGTGCTTCTGATATCTCTCAGTAATTCAAGTGTTACCATATGTATACCATCTGTGTTTCTGATATCTCATAGTAACTCATGTTTTACCAGCTGTGTTTCTGATATCTCACAGTAATTCATGTTTTACCATCTGTATTTTTGATATCTGTCAGTAATTCATGTTTTCGCATCTGTGTTTTTGATATCTCACAATAATTCACGTTTTACCATCTGTGTTTCTGATATCTCACAGTAATTCGCATTTTACCATCTGTGTTTCTGGTTATCTCTCAGTAATTTACATTTTACCATCTGTGTTTCTGGTATCTCTCAGTAATTGATGTTTTACTGTCGGTGTTTCCAATACTTTTCAGTAATTGACGTTTTCCCACTTACGAGTTTATTTCTGACATATTTCATTCATTCACGTGTTCTTCCGTCTGCACTCTTGTTTTCTTTCAGCAATTAACATATTTTCCCATCTTTTCTTTCCCCATTTCTTTTTAAATGGTGGGGAAGCGGGATGGGGTAAATAAGGGAGAGAAAAAAAACCTTTGTCCCATCAGAAGCATGTCGTAAAAGACGACTAAATAGTGTTGCTTCCCACAAAGTCGGGTTGCATCTACCTGAGAGGAGAGGAACTAACAGTTTGCATACAAACAAGCCAGATATGCATCAGAACTCAAGTTCTTAAACAAGACTAAAGCTCACACGTGGACGAACAACATCCGGTGAACCCGAAGAGAAAGGGAGCATGAAAGGAAGAAAGAAAGAAAGAAAGAAAGAAAGCAAAGAAGAAAGAAAGAAGGAAAGAAAAATGGGAGAAAAATAAAATAATAATAATAATAATAATAATAATAATAAGAAGAAGAAGAAGAAAAAGAAGAAGAAGAAGAAGAAGAAGAAGAGGAAGAAAGAAGAAGAAGAAGAAGCAGAAGGAGGAGGAGGTGGTGGTGGAAGAGGGGAAGGATGAGGATAAGGTGGACTTGGATATTTTCCCCTCTATTTTGGATATCTATACTACTTAAAATGTTTCCTGTTTGGATTCCTGTATGTATTGTGCAATACTCGAGCAAAAACATCTGTGTCAGTATTCACAAATCTTCCTATCCGTACTCCTTGCATCTTTTATATCTCAGTGGTTTTCATGTGTTTACTCCTTATTCCTGATATCTTGCAGCAATTCACCTGTTCCCACCTGTACTCCCAACTAACAAATGGCTGCGAATCCTGGACAAATAGTAAACAAGCCAAACTATTTCTAAAGGCCCCGGAGATGACATTTGACAGCAGAATGTTGAAAATTCCTGGCACAGCCGGCATGTCCTGGCAGAAACGACAAACTGATCACAAACATCAAAAGTCGATAGTCTTCATCATGTGACCATTTTTTTTTTTGAGGAAAGACTGTCGAACGTGTT